TTATAATTAATTATATTATTATTTATTTTTTGTTGTTGTTGAGGAAGATTTGCCCTGAGCTAACCCCTGTGCCAATCTTCCTGTATTTTGTATGTGGGTCACAACCACAGCATGGCTTGACGAGTGGTGTAGGTGTGCACCTGGGATCTGAATCCATGAACCAGGGCCACCAAAGCAGAGCATGCAGAACTTTAACCACTCAGCCACGGGGCCAGCTCCATAATTATTATTATTTTTTTTTTTTTTACCAAGCATGTATAGTTGAACACAAGTAAAACACAGGTAAAGCTTTGTCTCCACTGTAAATCTTTAGCCACTAGTTTACTCAGTTTACAGTAGATCTGTAAGAATAATGCTAAGTGCATGTGGCTGTTCCATAAATATTCTTTAATTCGTTCACTAATTACCCACCAACTGTATGCCACACACTTGTTTTAAGCGCTGGGGAAAGCAAGGGTCAGCCATAGAGGCCTCCAGTCATGTCAGGGAGAAAAATACAAACAAAATCATTTCATTACCATCTAACAACTGCATGTACAAGGCAAGACGGGCCTGGACAGGGCAGGGGAGGCTTAAGGAGATGAGCCCCCCTCCCCGAAGCACATATGGCCCCCTCCCTCACCTTCAGGCCCTGATTCAGTGTCATGTTCCCAGTGAGCCCCTCCACAAGCTCCCATTTAAACCTGTAAACCCTCTCCCACCACACACCCTCCCACACCTCTCTCTGCTTTATTTTCCTCCCCAGCTGCTTATCCTTCTGATCCCATCTCTTGTTTTACTTCTTATCCTTCTCCCTCCATGAGAGGGTGGGCTCCACGAGGGCAGGGATTTCTGTCTGTTTTGTTGAATCTCGACCCTAAAACAGCACCCAGCACATAGCAGGATTTGGTTAATATTCAAGAAGAAGCCTTTCCTGACCACATACAGGGCACCGGTCAGAGTGCTCTGTCCCTCTGTCCTTTCTTTTCCTTCACAGCATTTATCAAGAAGCTCAAGTTTTCTTTCCTTTTCAAATTTGTTTATTTATTTATTTTCCTCGCCCCTCACTAGAATGGAAGCTTCATGACAAGCGAGTTTGTCTGCTGTGTTCACTACCGTGCTCCCAGCACTTAAAATAGAGCCTGGCACTGTTTATTTATTCCATAAATTTTACCTGAATGAACGATCATCACCCTCATGACCGCAGCTCATAGTCACCAAGCACTCAGTGTATCCCAGATGGTTTTATGTGTATTCTGTCTCCCAACCCTCACAACAAGCCTATGAGTAGGCATTACTATTATCCTCATTTTATAGATGAGGAAACACTGACAGACACACAAAAACTTGCCCAAGGTCACAAACTCAGCAAAAGGAAGAGACAGCAATTAACTCCAAGCCATCTGACTTGAGCTTTGCTTCTGATCCCCGTCCTATGGACATAACAGAGCTGCACTGTAGATGGACAGTGCCATTATCACTCCTGGTCTAGTGCATGGGTATCCTCATCATCTGCCCCCTCTAAACCATCCTCCTTACACCTCCAAGCCATTCTCCACACTAAAGCCAGAGTGACATTTCCCATAGCAAATCTGACCCCCTCACTCTGCTTTCAATCTCTTCAATGGCTTTCCACTGATAGAGCACACATGTGAGGGTCCCTCCAGCAAAGGTGATCAATATTCGTAATAACCTCTCTAGAAGAATGACAATGTCGTCTCCAGGAAAATGACAGATTATGAAAAAAATGATGGGCTTGAGAGAAATGCTCTCCCTTTGAGATAAGAAATGAGAAAAGGCTTATTTGACTATGATAAACTGGGCCCTATCAGTAATTCCAAAAATATTTATACAATCTGATCAGAATCAGCAAGGTAGATGTATTAAAATGGATATTCCTGAGCCCCACTCAAACCCATTAATTCAGAATCCCTAGAGATGGGGTCAGGAAATCTACATTTTTAACAAATACCCCTTTGACACTCACTGATCTAGACCTTTTCAACTCTAAGACACCAGGTATCTGCACGTTGGGCAATTCTGTATAAACCATCAATGTCAAGACTTAGACCCAGCTAGCTCTATTTCATGACCACTAAGGGCCCTTTTGTTCATGAATAATGTTATATAACTCACAGATTCAAACCTGCCCTAACCCAGGTCACAGGTTTCAAAAATGCCCAACGCTTGGGCAGCTCATGCCAATCACAGGAAGCCAGAACTACCACGTCTGGTAAAGTCAACTTACTTATGCCAGGTCAACAGTTTTACTACTAGACATGTTCATTCCAAAGATTATTCCATTTCTTCCCTTAAAATACACCTCCTGCCATGGCTAGGAAATTGTGAGAGAAAAATAAACAAAAAACACAAACCATGTCTTGCCCTGAGCATGCCAGTTGACTGCTGAGCTAGAACAGTGTGGGATTCAAAGAAAAGCAAGCCTATGCAGGTCTTTTACATTCTGAAAGATTCTAAAAAACGTCAGAGATGAGCTTTGTTCACAGGGAAGTTCAATGCTCATCCAACCATCAACCCAAGACCCTGGCATTTTGCCAGGCTTCCCTGACATTACCAGGACTGGTCCCTACATGAATTCATCTTTGGACATGGGGCGCCATCTGACCCAATATTAGCTCCTGGCTCCTGCAGCTGAGAGAAGAGGAAGATCTTACCAGGTACAGTCTTCTCTCTGTCCAGCCCCCCAAGCTGTGAGTCCGCACTGCACAAGGCAGAAATAATACAGACTGACATGGAATCTTATGCTCAAGATTCCAACTATTTTTCCTTTTCTTGAACATGTTTTCAAATTATTTAACTTGTGCAAATTACCCAGAAAAATGTTTTCCTCCACAAAATGTAAAAAAAAAAGAAAAAAAGATCTTGATAGAAAGTCAATCAGTCCTGAGAACTACTTTGAAAGATACAGGATTTAACTGTGGTGCTACAGCAAGTTTCGAATCTGAGTCATGTTATACGGTTTAACAAATTTTTTTGAAATTTCAGACATGTATTTAAGTACTGACTTTTAGCTCTGATTATTTTCAAGTGCACCTATGTAAAAGAAAATGTTCTACCCTACACAACACAAGACAGAAATTAACAGTGTGTTAGAAACAATGACTGTGTATTGCAATATCCAAAGAAGCCTACAGGAGAAAACAAAATGTGTAGAAGAAAACAGCAGAGAAACAAATTTTTCAAGATATTTCATAGGCATGAATATAACTTTTCATCCATACTGAATTACCAGGCTCATCACATAAATGACTCTTGCAGATTCTATGTAATGTAAGTAATAAATAAGATCTATCGATATATAAGATGAACAAAGCAATCCTTGGTTACATGTACTGCAACAAATTAAGGGGAAAGAAAGCGAGATTATTCAAGTTCAGTAAAGATTATTCAGCACTCACTACAGTGAAACGCAAAAATATGGAGTAGAGCTCAAATTTCGAAGGCTTCTAACTTTCCAGATTTCATTTCAGTTTTCTAATGACAAATTATAGCTTTAAAGTATAAAATCACGAGGTTATTTATTCCCAATAGAACTTTCTAATTTCCTTACAAGTTCTTATGCTTTCAACTCTATACCCTGCCAAAGAGAAGCCTGCTTTCCCCACCCCACGCAGATTCCACAACCCCACTGCAGACGCTCTCAGCCGTGGAGCATGCAATGACCCTCAAGGCTCTCTTGCACACGCTGACAGAATCTGCCAATACACGGGGCAAGGACAGAGGGGTGAGGTGGCATTCCCTGGAATTTAAAGAGGCCCCAGTGGTCAAACGAGAATAGCTCAAGATGTTTAAGATAGCAAAACCAGTACTCCATTTAGACTCCAAAATTTTAAGCCATTGTGAAAGACAAAGAAAACAGGCATTAATACTAGCATAAAAATGTTTTTTACATTCAGTTTATTTGTCAAATACCAACTGCTTTTTCTTTCATTCCTTTCTGTTTCTGATCTTTGGAAAAACCACATCAGTATCAAATGTCACTTAGTTCTTATTCAAACAGAGGAAAGCAGACACAGCGGCTGCACCCGTGACTTAGCTGACCTGGGCACTCAGTAAAAACAAACCTCTATAAATCACCAGATGTAAGCAATTGGGTAGTGATCACTTTAATTAATTGAATAGCTTTCCTGAAATTTACTGTATAATTTCAACCCTCCCAACACCTTTCCCAGAAGCAACTAACAATGGTGGTTTTCTCTTAAGTTGTTTAAAAGAGAAAAACATTTTTAACTTTTGTGGCTTGAATATATTTTTAAATTATTCAAGATTAAGGTTAATTAAGCTACTTAATTTTAGAAATTATACCATGCACATTCTAAATGCTACCTTTAAATGCCAAAAGTCAAAATTATTCCAAAACATCTCCAATGCATGAATATAAACATGTTATCTGCCCTAAAAATAGAGAAAATTTAACACAATTTTAATTCTATTTGAAAGCTCATATTTGCAAAATACCATCAATGGTATTTCTACCTTCAATCACATAATATAATTTTAACTGTATAAAGTTGATATTTTGCCTTGATGTTTCTGAACCTCAATTTCCACAGGCATCACACTTAATAGGACACTCCAAAGTCTTGTTACCAACTCCCATTTCTCCTTACAAAACAACTCCCATCATTCTCCAGTAGGAACTATGCAATACCTAATCCAGAGATCCACGCCAACCATTGAGTAATACCAGAATTAAAGTCCTAGTCTACACAATATAATCAAATACACGTCTCTATGCGGTGAGGGCGGCTTCTCTGAAGCTTGGAGACCATTTCAGCCATGACAACAAAGTGTAAAAAACGTGTTGTTATGATCATACTTAAAATTTAGGAGGAAGAGAGAGCTGGAAAACAAGTCACCTAATTTAAAGAACGCTTCTCCGTTATCCACTGAAGGAAGTATTCATATTTTGCTGGTAAGATCTTTGCTCTAGCCCACAGGGAAGTGCCACTCATGGTCCCTGCAAACATACATGAGAAATCCTGCCAACATTCACTTACAAGGAGAGAAGTGTAATATTTGCTGAGACTGGTCCTAGATTTGGAATGGTCTCCAATTCATTGTTGTTCAGTTTCCTATAAATGACAAAAAAGGGAAAAAAAGCTGATTAGATAAGCTGTAATTCACAGAGGTGAAAAATTTATAAAATTATTTCAAGATACCTCCCAAATTAAAAATTTTAAATAATTTATTATATCCAAACGTTCTTTACAGTTAAAGAGTGTGATGGGTAGTATATTTCACTCAAACCTCAAAGAGAAAATAACTAAGACTCACACTTCTCGAAGGTTTTGAAGGTGGCTCATGGAACTTGCCTTGATGGAAGACAGTCTGTTGTGACTTAAGTCCCTAGGAGAAAACAAAAATAAAATTATAAGTAGTTTCGAAAAATCACTAATAGCGCTTAAAGATGTGCAGGACAGAGTGGATTTATGAAAGATCTCTATCAACACTATTGACAACATAAGAAATAACCGGTCCATCCTGTTCCATAAACTAGATGGCAACCCAAACACCAAACTCAAAACTACAAACTCGGAGAACAAAATTAGTTTCGGAGGCTGGCAGATTCAGATGCTTTCAGCCCACAAACGTTTTAGGAGATGTGCTTTGGCACAGGGTGAACAGATCTTTTGTGAACTGGCTGTTTTGCTTCACCCTCCCCAGCCCCTACCATCCCCTCACCTCCAATGTGATGTGCTGAAGTCATGGCTTATGAAAAGTGGCTAATTAGGCAGGCTGCTGGGACTCAAACCTCTGAAGAAACTCTTTTACTATCATAAAATTAAGCATCAGTGTCCTTATTACAGTCAAACAAAATAGAAATTGCTTTTCACACATACTTATTTTGCTCGGTTAAGGCACCAAATTATTTAAAGTATCATTTTGTCTGTGTGTGTGTGTGTGTGTGTGTGTGTTTCTGTGTTTTGAGAGCACAGAAAACAACCTGAACCCTCTGCCTTCCTGAATTCCCCAAATCTCAATACCTGGTAATATAACGTATAATTTAAACCACATCAACCACCTAACAAAGTTCAGCAGAGTGTATAGAAACCTGTGAACAGATTTCCTTTCAATCATTAAAATAAATCTGCTTCTTACTCAAAGACTTAATCTAACTTAGTAACAATTTCCACAGGACATTATTATTTAAAAAAGAAAAAGCAAAACAAAACTCCTACATATGCAATAATCTAGGCTAGGAAGTCATCTCATTCAGCATTTAAGATTCAAAATATGCAACAAAATCCATCAAATATTTGGTTATATTCCCTATGTGTGTCAACATACTGAATATGTGCCTTCAAAATGGTGAATGAAATGAAATGGTTGAGCAGCTACTGAAAACCAGGCTAACACACAGTATGGCTTAAAGCTCTCCCACTGAAAGATGTTAACCAACACTTACTAAATTAACTCTTTCAGTGTTCAGAAATGAATAGTTTTAAATAACCAAAGTTTTAACCAAACTTGATTGGAGAAAAGCACAAACCATTTGTTATATGCATAAGTACCCCCAAAAAAGAGAAAAAGGCAGAAAAATCACATCCAGAGACGCAGTGTTCCTTAGGGCATGTCCATTAAGTTAACAATTAGAAATCAGAGATCTTTCTGTCTTTGAATTTTTGTTTTGAGAATAAACCTGGATTTCTCTATTTCACCTAAAAAAAAAGTCTGCAAAGATTTTATTTGAAACATGTTTGCCTAAAGACCTACCAGACAGTAACAGACATGAGTAGATTTGTTCTGGTAGAGTTATAACACGAAAAAAAATCTGGCACAGTCTTTAAACTATAAAAATCCTGCAATTACAACCACTGCTGTGCATGCTCACCACGCTGGAGCCAGACACTTTCCCTCGCAGCCCAGCTCACATCCATCTGGAGTTCATCAGGAAGCCGTGAGCCCAACAACTCACGTTAGGATTCAAACAAAACCCGTGTGCTTTTTGCACCACAGACAGTCCCAGATTTCCCACAGGGCTTAAAAAACAACCAGGGAAAAGAGTCCTTCACCTGGGAGGTAGCCTGAATCAACAGAAAGTCTCATTTGGACCCACTTAACTAAAGGACATTGAACCAACATAACATGGCATCCCCTATTGTTTCAAGTTTTAAAAAGGAAGGGGGGGGGAACCCAATCTGGCATTTACAGTTAATACAGGTGATTTTCTTTTTAATTAGAAAAACTAAGACTATACTCTCCACTTCATTTTAAGGATTATTTCACAGGGCAATGCTGTGAGAAAAGAGATTTGAGTGCTGAACTTTTTTTCCAACAAGTAATGGGATGAGATCTCCAACAAAGGACCTTTAAAATGAGAAACCACCTTCAGAGAACAGTGCACATGCTGGGGACCACTCATTCCTGATCCAGAAGCAGGAGCTGGCAACCTTAAACATTTCAGTTATTGCAACTCACTTCCATTCCCGAGTTTTCTGTACTATTAAAACCACATTATATGTGGGAGGAAAAAAATCACCCCTTAAGTGACTTTTACTGCTAAATACTTAAAGCCATGAAACTTTTAATGCACCTAAATTTAGATTTAATACAGCTTATGTTTCAGAAATGATTACTCTCCAGTTAAAGGATGTCACCTTTTCCTAAATCTTCCTGATACTGTTTTTATGGCTAGACTATTAAAAACAAATTCCAAGTTGGACAATGTCGTTTTCTTAAACCCATAAGAACATTCAATCAAGAAGGCAAATTCTTCATTTTTAGGTTTCCAATAATGATCATCTTCCCCAGGAAACCTTTTGAAAAAATTTTTTGTAGCGAGGTTAACAAATGGGAAAGGTGGTGAGGCAGGGAGGTGTTAACTATTTACCCAGAACTCAGCTGGCCAAATACTTGAAAATCAAACTCTACATGGTAGACAGAAGTTTCTCTTCCTGCATATGAGCAAGAGAATAAATATACATGAAAATAATTAATTTACAACACTTGGTTCCAGCTATCATTTTCTTCCTTTTAGCTTTGGAAACCTGACTTCCAAGTCAAATTTTAAAATGCAAATCCAGCCCAGCTTCTTAATCAATCCCACGGGGGCCTGCAGAGCTGCTAATTCAGCAGAAATCTGGAAAGCTGAAAAACAAGGCAGGCTATAGCTGTTTTAAGACACGGATCCAAAGTGACTCATAAATCAGCCTGCTCTGTTCAAGTTTTAGTCTGGAAAATATAGAAAAACAGCTGTGAAAACCATAAGGACTATTACCCCCACCCCGGCCCCAACTCAGGAACCGAGCAGAGGATTTATAACAGGCAGACAGTAAAGAAGCCATACCAGCAGTGAGCACCTTTCGGACTCCTGCCTGAGCCCAGCTAACTCAAACATTTCTATGTAATAAGATAAATAATTCTGAAATTTCAGTGAGATCAAATACTTGAAACTCTCATTGGCAATTGAGTAACTTTCCCCTCTTTTGGCTAAGTAACATATTCTCAGGAGCACTCCTCCTTGGGTTCAGGACTCTTTGTAAGCACGAAGTCTAGATGTAAACTCAGTCTGTCTTTAAAAGCAGTTGTAAGCAACACTTCACATAGTTGCTGTTTTGAGAGCCACTTTCCTTAAAGTATTAAAGGTTACTCTGAAAGGAGAACTAACTACAACGTTATTATTTTATAGCTCAAACTATTCAACTTTTCATACATAGGATTCCTACGGCAATAAATCACAACTGAATAAAGTGAAAAAATACATACACACATGTATAATAAGTAGACAGATTGATTTTTTAACTTGCAAATTCAACAAATAAAACAGAACACAGACACCAAACTTTTTCTGAACAGTGCTCTCATAAACTAAGCCTAAGGCAAACTTTTACTATCTTAATTACCTAAGGAAAAGGAAGTTGAGATATGCGGAAGAACAAGAGGCACTTTTCTACTTACTTCTGAACTCGGAAACAGTCTAATTAAAACTTTTCTAAGGATGTAAAATTTAAGAAGCAGCTATCTTATGCCTCCTGTTCGAAACACGAAGGAACAGAGAAGTTAAAGCTCAATTCCAGGGGTTTTACTTCTTTCAAAGGTAGAGACAGGAGACTTCTAGAATTTTAGGCACAAACAGAAGAAACACAATAAAGAATTTAGACCACATGGCTTGGTGACAACTACAAAGTTGGTTAAAAGTCACACAAGCACAAGAATGACAGAGCTGTCCAATGAGTGATCACAGTGGGGCTTCTGACAACAGACCTAGTGCTTATTTATACAAGTGGAACTTATTTTCACATACATTTAAGGAATGTGGACTTGTATTGAGACAATTTACTGCTAGCGGAAATGTAATTAAAGATTGTGCTAACCAAATAAACTGTAATTTGTTTTTAGTGTGCCACCAAATTATCTGCAAAACAAAATCCTAATTAGGTCAGCTACTTTTAAAACAACCTTTAAATAGGTATCAAACCCCTTTTGGTTTAACCCAACTTCTAATCAAGAGCAATACAGTTATTTTTTTGAAGACATCCAAATTCACAAAAAAAGTATACTGCACCCTGCATGGTCCAGTAGGCCGCTCGACACTGACACTATTGAATATAAGTTAGATTTGTTGAATGATCCAAGCATTTCTAAACACACCCCAGGAAGCACTCTATTCATTTTCTTCTTCTCATCCCTCTATTCTTCATAGGTGTTCACCTCCAGTCATTCAAATGTTCAGTCCCATATGTTGTCAATAGAGCCATTCACATTTCATGAATAAGGCAGCATGACCTCCACCAGAGGCAATTGAACAGAATTAGCCACAACTAATTGAAAGTCTTCCTGCTTTAGGTTAAAGCCCTTATCTCCTTCTTCAATTGTAATAAAAACTACTAAAAAAGACAACCCACGGTAAGAGATTAAATACCAATCTAAAACTCCCTAATTCTACTTTTTGCTTAAACTAAGGTTTATTAACACAAAGAATACGCTTTTAATGGTCAACAATTCTACAATTCACAAATAAAGATTTTGATCAGCACAATGATTTAAAAGCACAATTTCTTAAACTGCTGACCAAACTTTCTACCACTATTATTAGGACGTTAGGATAGTCTACTAGAGTTAACAACTTAGAATTTCCATTGCAATTCTGCCAGCCCCAAATCTAAGGATTTAAGGGTGGACTGCACTTTTATTGCTTTCAAACAGGATGACTATTTTTTTTAAAAAAGAAACGCGAGCTTTGATTGTTTGTTTACATTTTACACGAGTCCTCCAAGTCCTCCAATTTTAACAAAACTAGAGCTGGGAGAGAATAAGGAGACATTTGGAGAGAATCAACCTTTCCAAGTAAACTACACTTTCTTCCTTGTTCTTCCCCGGAGTTGGCAGTGATCTCAGGTTTTCAGACTTCACAGCTAGCGTCCAAAAACTTGCATAACAGCACCCAGCGCTCTCCCCTAAACCGTCTGGGCGTGCTGAGAAACTACAGAAATCACGCCCCTGGTTCTGAAATCTCTAGCTCCTTCTTTTCCATACCTACTGATCAGTCTTGCCAACTTCTTACCGGAACGAGGATGTGTTACAGTTTGGTCGAGGAGGGGGATTTATGGAGCTTTCTAATGCGAAATTCGGCACAGGGGAGAGAACAACAAAAGGATGTCGACCATAGTTTGCACAGTGACCGAACTCTGTGGAGGGGGCTTCCCAAAGGAAAGGAGCGCGTTTAATCACCGAGTGGTAACAGGACAAGGGGCCTGAACCACTTAGGAACTCTAGGTGAGCTCTCAGAGGGAGAGCTGCGAACTCCCACAGTCTGCAGGCGGCCCCCTCGCCCGCCCCGGCCTGGCAGGGGCGCGCATCCGACCCCCCGGGCGCGCTCAAGGCGCAGGATGTTGACTCTCCCCTGGAGTTGTCAGCGGCTCCCTGCCCTCGCCCACCTGCGGCAAGGCGGGGCGCGCCAAGGGCCCACCTGCGCGGCCCGCAGGGCCCTGAGGGAGCGGGACTGAGGCCCCGACGGCTCCTTCTCCATCCCCGCGGAGCGCCGCTCGAGGCCTGGGCCCGGAGGAGCTGCCCTGGGAAAAGCTGCTCCGCGCCGCGCGCCCTGGCCCCGCGCCGGCTCCCCTCCGCCCGCAGGAAGAATACTTACAGCCGCGCGACCCAGGGCGGGAGCGGCTCGGGCAGGCGCGCCAGCCCCCGGCGACTGCAGTCCAGCAGGTCACCGAGGCAGCGGCAGGGAGCGGGGCACGGGCGCTCGGCGGCCACCCCGGAAGGCT